GATGCTGCTTGGCCTGCTGTGTTCATCCAGCCCTGCACCTTGTTGTCTCGGATTCTCCAGCATCTGCAGTTCCTACTATCTCTCATCCTTCCCCTATTTGCCCTGTTTGGTCCTGTTGGAATGTTATAGGTTTTTATGAGATTTTCTCCTCATTCTTTTAAACTTCAGTGAATATAGTCCTAACAGATCCCATCTCTCTTCATACTTCAGTCCTGCCATTCCAGGAATCAGTCTGGTGTCCCTCTTGCTGTGCATGGAACGGTTTTCAACATCACAACATGATTATACCTCAAATGCTGTAAAGCGTTTTAGGGCATCCTGAGGTCGGGAACGGTGCTAAGTAAACGTAAGTCCCTCTTTCCTGCATCCGCCTGCAATTTTCCTTTGAGGAGCAGTGACCTCCCTCTCGACTGAGCTTGAGCAGGGCAGAGTTTCCATTGAATGAAGACACTGGCTTTGTTGAGTGAAAGCAGCACATGTCTATCACACCTCAGAGGTGCTGATAGTTCAGGCACAAAGAGAGTCCTCCTCAAACACACCATTCTGACAGGTTCTGTCCTCACTTCCTCCTCAGCAGCAGACATGCTGATTGGAATCTCCGGAGATGTGGAACTTTGCTTTCTGCCAACTTGTGATGATAAATAATATCCGACCTACAACATCAACATAAAATCCCTCTCGTATTCACACTGGAGAAGAAAAGGTCCCTCTCATTGCTGCAAACACTGCTCCCTGACCACTTCCAACTCTGCAGCCTGTTACGACTGAGGCTGAAGATGTTTTCGCTCTTGAGCTCGCTCTCATTCTCGCTGTCTAATTCCACTGATGCATGGGTCACAACACAAAATAAAAATGCTTATTTTCTGCCCCACCCAAGTTTGATCATCTAAGCAGCTTACATATGTCAGGTTATAAACACGGGTTTATCAACTGAGTCTCTTAATAAACACAATATGAGTTTACTCTCAAAATAAAACTTATTAAGTAAAGATGCAATAAGTGGTTGACATACAGTCAGCAAGACAGAAGCATAACGCTCTTCCCTATAAATATCCGCAAAATGCACAACAACATAAAGCAGTCGCTGCAGAGAAATCTTCTGAAAAGAGAAACAGCTTGGTCAATGGGTTATTCTTGAATGCAAAAGGATAAAGCATTGGATGTTCTGGATTTGTTTCTCTGATGTTTGGGCATGTGTGGGCATCACTAATTGTGCATGGATGTATTTTCATTCAATCTGTCAAAAGAACAGATAAGTTTTACCCTGAATTGATTTAGAGAATTTTCTTTTTAGAAATGGGAGAGAGCAGTTGGGCAGCTTGTGTTTCAGCAAGGTTTTCTTCAACTCGGCTTCTTCCTAGCTGACTTTACTCTAAATCAGATTATTCTGAGCAAACTTTCCTCCAATTCAACCAGATAAAGCAAGAATCTCTCCAAATCAGTCAAAGTTGTTCAAGACAACCACATTAGCGTCTACAAAAAACGGTTATCATCAGTCATGTCATTTCCAGGAAGCCTTGGTTGAAAATAAAATCTTCAATGCCCATTATGAACTTGCAATAACCTCTTTTATATTGATCATTCTAGTATGTCTCAAAACTAAATAAATGCCTTTGCCACAATCCTTCAAAATGTAATTCAATCCAGCAATATTAAACATTAAGTCTCGATATAACACGCCCTCCAACTTTATAACACCCCCTCTTCTAATCTTAGAACCCTTATTATTTACAATTACCTCAGTACTTGAAATCTTCTCTCCCTGTAAGATTTTCGAACCCTAGACCCACACTATCTCTGTATCCTCTTCTACACCTACAATCCTGACATACGAGGAGAGATTGAGTCAGTTAGGATTGTATTTGCTGGAATTTGGAGGAATGGGTAGGGATCGCAAAGAAACCTATAAAATTCAAGCTGGACTAGGCAGGTTTGGTGCAGGAAGGATGTTTCTGATGGTGAGGGAGTCCAGAATCAGGTGTCATCGTTTAAGGATAAGTTTAAACCTTTCAGGACTGAGATGAGGAAAAATTTCTTCACCAAGAGAGCTTGTGGAATTCACTATCACAGAAAGCACTTGAGGCAAAACCATCATGTGTTTTGAAGAAGAAGGTAGATGTATCACTTGTGGCTGAAGAGATCGAGTGATATGGGGAGAGGGTGGGATTAGGGTATTGAGATCAATCATCATATTGAATGGCAGTGCAGGCTGCAAGGGTTGAATGGCCTACTCCTGCTCCTATCTTCAATCTTTCTTGTTTCTATCTTGCCTTTCTGCAATCTCTCCACCTTCCAAACCCCTCCTTCCCTGTA